ATCATGATACGCGACCAAAGACGACCGTGAGACGTGACCAAAGGTGACTGCGATAAGTGCCCAAAGGCGACTGTGATACGCGACCAAAGGTGACCGCGATATGCAACCAAAGACGACCGTGAGACGTGACCAAAGGTGACCGCGATATGCAACCAAAGACGACCGTGAGACGTGACCAAAGGTGACCGCAATACGCGACCAAAGACGACCGTGATATGCGACCAGAGGTGACCACGATAATTGACCAAAGACGATTGTGGAACGTGACCAAAGGTGACCGCGATAATTGACCAAAGACAATCATGATACGCGACGAAAGGTGACCGCGATACGCGACCAAAGACGACTGTGATACGCGACCAGAGGTGACCACGATAATTGACCAAAGACGATTGTGATACGTGACCAAAGATGACCGCGATACGCGACCAGAGGTGACGCGATACGCGACCAGAGGTGACCACGATAATTGACCAAAGACAATCATGATACGTGACCAAAGGTGACCGCGATACGCGACCAAAGACGACCGTGATATGCGACCAGAGGTGACCACGATAATTGACCAAAGACGATCATGATACACGACCAAAGACGACCGTGAGCCGTGACCAAAGGTGACTGTGATAAGTGACCAAAGGTGACCGCGATACGCAACCAAAGACGACCGTGAGACGTGACCAAAGCTGACCGCGATACACGACCAAAGGCGACTGTGATACGCGACCAAAGGTGACCGCGATACGCGATCAAAGACGACCGTGAGACGTGACCAAAGGTGACTGTGATAAGTGACCAAAGGCGACTGTGATACATGACCAAAGGTGACCGCGATACGCAACCAAAGACGACCGTGAGACGTGACCAAAGCTGACCGCGATACACGACCAAAGGCGACTGTGATACGCGACTAAAGGTGACCGCGATACGCGATCAAAGACGACCGTGAGACGTGACCAAAGGTGACTGCGATAAGTGACCAAAGGCGACCGTGATACTGGACCAAAGACGACCACGATACGCGACCAAAGACGACCGTGATATGCGACCAAAGGTGACCACGATAATTGTCCAAAGACGATTGTGATACGTGACCAAAGGTGACCGCGATACGCCATCAAAGACGGCCGCGATACGCGACCAGAGGTGACGCGATACGTGACCAGAGGTGACCACGATAATTGACCAAAGACGATCATGATACGCGACCAAAGACGACCGTGAGACGTGACCAAAGGTGACTGCGATTAGTGACCAAAGGTGACTGTGATACGCGACCAAAGGTGACCGCGATACACGACCAAAGCCGACTGTGATACGCGACCAAAGGTGACCGCGATACGCGACCAAAGACGACCGTGAGACGTGACCAAAGGTGACTGCGATAAGTGACCAAAGGCGACCGTGATACTGGACCAAAGACGACCACGATATGTGACCCAACACTCCCATTTTGAACAGCCTATACCAGGCAAAAGCAGTCCCCACATGTTTGATTTGAGAGTCTTTTAATTGACATGTAGACGTGTAAAAAGTATGTTGTTCATGGAGCAGCTAAATGAAATTCAGTGTAGAGAAGCCGAGCGCAGCCTTTGAAGCACGAGCTATTAAACCCAAACAGGAAGCGTCCTGCAACATTATAGAATGTGAGAATTGATTAAATCGGTTTTGAATGAGCTGAGCTTCCATGATAAAGGTTTGCCTTATGCAAGGAAACGTTACATGTGTTATCAACATTCAGGTAAAAGGATTGGATCCATTTTGATTTATTGAAGAGGAGAAATGGAAAATAAACCAAGCTTTTATTAACAGATAACATCCTTAATCAACAATAGTGGCATCAAAAGAAAAGGCCAAAATCTTCAAAGTGCTGCGAACAACGTCAACAGCTTCTATCAAGAGATGTTTCTGAATAGACTGCAGGCTAAGTTTTTATTTTCAGAGCCAGTAATAAGTCCTTTTATTGAACTATTATACGGATTTATGAGAATAGTGTTTCAGATTTAGGCGTGTTTATCCTCTTCAATCTAAAGTTAAAGCACAGAAAAATAGAGAAGGAAACGACAGAAACTGAAGGAGGCAAAAACCTGTGGAGTGATGAAATGTTAAATTTCATTGGTTTAGCTCATAGATCTAAAAATAAAAAAGGTTAAAACAATTATCATTGAAATGTTATATTGGAAACTTTCAGTCATTCTGTCGGGGGCTTTCTTGGCAGACGTTCTGAGGCTTTCATATCATTTATATTCAACTGGAATTGGTAAATCTATAATATATGGTTATTATCGTCCCGCCCCACTTTAGAATCAGGCATTAGTCCAACAAATACAATCAGCGTGTGACATTAAAAATTATTTCTTCTTTCATCTTCATTACATGTTCTTCTTTTATTTGATTATATTGCAGCCAAATATTTTTTCTGATCATACTGTTCAATATTTTACCATCATCTCCAATGTGTTTTGTTACCAGTTTGCTTCTTACGGTCTGAGTTTATTTATATCATAGAAAATATAGACGGTTATTACGGCTGATGAGCAGAGACTCAATTCAGTATTTTTCTTTTTATACAATTAAGAAGATTAAATAGCTAAATGGAGGCATTTAGTATAACTTGGTAGCTCTGACCACTAGGTGGCACCAGAGTGCTTCCATTGGAAGTCTTTGTATGTGCTCTATTGAAATTAAGTGGGATCCAAGAGTGAGCAGATAATGTTAAATAAAGGACAGTAATTAGTTGCGTTCATATTTAGACATCATTCCATTGATGACATCATAATGTTGGGATGCATTGATAAGCTGCATTAAGGAAACAGGTCCGATTACAGATGGGTTTTCTTTTTCTTGTTTTGGTAAATTTAGGGTGAATTTAATATGTATATAATCATTACGCATTTCTACGGGTGGATACATATTCAGGAATATTTATTAATATTAATGAATTAGTTGGATGTTTTAATTCTCAGTTTGGTGCAGATTGATCCAAGTACTGACTGTGACCTATGGAGACGGTGGAAATGCTCTCATTGACCATAATGAGGTGGAGAAATCCTGCGTAAGCTGGGGGGGTTAGAGTTCAAATGGAGTTCGTGCGTTAGGACAGGACTCAAAATGGACTGTTCCGAGTCTCATAGTCCATCTGTGGGACGACTTGGTTTCATTTCCTTTGCTATAAAGAACAGGCCAAAATGTAGCAGTGTTGACGTGCAAAGCTAGCGGAGAAATAACCGGGGGTGAAAGTAAGCCGGAACGGTCCGGTACTTCGTACCAGTAAAATATTTAGGGCGGTACGCAGTTCTGTGAAGACCTGCTGGCTGCTATTTTGTGCCATCAAGCGCACAGCGGCAGATGGCCGCACACACTGAGCCTGGTTCTGCTGGAGTTTTTGCTCTCCACTGTCTCTACAAGCATGCTTAGTGTGAGGGATTGCTGAAGAGTCAATGAAATCAGCTGGTTTTCCTTAGATAGAAGACTTTGAATAAATCAGACTGAATGATCTGGTTGAACTGGAAAGTGTCCTGAGATGACATGATGTGAATTGGAGCTATAGAAATAAACTGAACAGAATTGGTGATTGTTAAATCTCACACACGATCACTTAATGCTGATGTGTCTGGCAAAGTCTGCTCCACCAGCTGTGCTCAGAAATCCATCTTTACGCACCTTGCACTTAGATCCTCGTCTGCACTTGCGTTCACCCCGATGCGCTCAGCAGCTCATCGATCGGAAGACTCTGTCCTCGCTACTTAATAAACCACATGTGGCTGATAAACACCATCTTTCCAAGTACAAAAAGTGATTTTGTCGACTTTTGGGAATTTTATTACTTCCCGATCTCAAGAGGTCACGCAAAACCTTTTATTTTTACCAACACTGCAAAATGATCTAGAAATGTCTTAAATTAAGGGTATTTACCCCTAATTTGAGTTGGTAAATAAAATAGTTTGTCCATTTTTACTCCTAAAATAAAATAATTAGATAATATGCATTTGAAATAAGACAATTTTTTCTCAATTTAAATGTAGTGTCCCACTAACCTCAATTCAAGAAAAATAGCCGTTACTTTAAGAAAAAATGCCTTATTTAGGTTTACATTTTTTTGCTCTGAACGGAATCCTTAAGTTATATCGGGAATAAATATTTTGTTGCTTACTGTTTATTTTTTAATAAAGCCGCAGATGAAAAGGCACATAGATCATCTTTGACTATTTTTCAATCATAATTCCTTCTTCTATCTGTTCAAATAAGAAGTCAATGTTTTCCTGTATTGTCATAAAGGCGTTTTCTCCATTTATCACTTCTAACTATATATATCTATATCACACACCTACCTATATATAGACATATATAGGCCAATAAGTGTTTTCTATCGAGTACCGGCAAGAACTTATCTTCTACTTTCATCCCCCAGCGTAAACCAACAAAGCTGCTGAATATTTTAATCTGTAAAACGAGCTGAAATCCATTTATCAGTTTACCAGCAATTATTTATAATCAATCTTTTGCATAAAATTCTATCAAAAACTGAAGTTTTTGGCTTTAAGCGTAACAAAAAATAATATGCAAATGATTCTGAACATTGAACTTTTTAGTTCAAACATCTTTTTATTTACAGCAAAGCTGTGTTTCTTTTCCCCACGTTACTTAAAAACAAAGCTAAAGGTCACCGCAGTTCTGGCCAATGAGCGAGCCGCTTTTTAAAAGGTGATAACTGCTTAATTAATGGCAGCTACTTAACGACCGGAGCCCTCTGGACAGCTTCACGTCATTAGGAGATTATCCATCACTAGATGATCATTTATTGTAAACATCAACCCCTCAGCATGACTAAAAGGCATCGCTATGATGTGAAGTTAGTGGGTAGAAATGCTCCATAAACCGGCTTCCTGGTGAGGAAGCAGCTCATTAATATTACCCCCTAACCGTCTTTGAGCGGGTAGGAGGCCGGCTTCTTCGGAGCAACGGTCAGAGGGCGAAACGGGAGAACAGCTTGTTTTATTGCTCCTCTTTATTTCCTGAGCCAAGTTACAAATGTGGGAGAAAATGTTGAGCTTGGTGAGCGTCACGCATCACCAGTGGAACGGATCTCTGCTCTGTGGCGGGACTCACCGGCTTTTATCTGCTGAAGCTTCTGTCTTCGTAGATGGTGATCTCGATCTAGTCAAGGCTGTTAAGGAAAAGCAGCTGCAGCCACTTAAGCATGAAAACAAACTGTTTCTATTTGATTTGTTTCTATCCTGTTCAGCTGCAAACAGGAACATTAGTTTATATACATTTAACCTCATGACTGAGGAAAAACAAAATATAAAAGACAAAAAATGTGTTTTTAACAAGGATTACAGTAAAAATATTGCTTTAATATATATTTTTTTTATTTCATAAAAATAATTCTTATTTTTTTTAAATGTCATTTGTGACATAAAGCTTCTTCTGGATTAAATTGCTCTGAGCTTCGCTTCAACGTGGGAAACAAGAAGACGTGACCCTTTGAAAGCGGCAGATATCAGGGATAAAATAGCTTCTAGATTCTGTTATCTACTGCAGCTTAAAGGAGAAAACCGTTTTTTTTTTCATTGGTCCTTGATTTTCCGTTATTCCATCATGTTCTATCACCCATACTAGTTTAGTGTCATTTGGAGCCGTTCTGAAGATATTCCGTTAGCTTATATCCAGTAACGTCTTCCTATGAGCAACGACTTGAAGACACAAACTAAACTGTTCATCATTTATTCTTTATGGTACGCCAGCATTCAGAACATGGAGGCCAATCACTGTCCCCCAGACATCCACCGTTAGATTTTTTACATTTATATCTTTTAAAAACAATGCGAAGTGTGTATGACGTCATCTGCACGGCGGACTGGATTTGTGACAGGCAGCCTGGGCCACAGGCGGCTACGCTCTACCCCTTCTATTAATTCTAGCTAATCTGAATCGTTCAATTCCATGTGGAGAGCGAGATCATCTGTGGTAGCAGCACACATGGAAATAGACTGGCAGATCGCAGTCACACATAAGCGAGCAGGTTTCATTTTCGGGCTCTCCAACATTTTATTTCTCCATTTAATAAACACACGATTCAGTTAGATAGGTATTTGTTGCGAAAGAAATAGTTACAATTTCAAGCATTTTCAAGCATTTCATCCAAAATATAAGCACTTTTCAAACCTTGAAAACACTACGTCAAAATTCAAGCATTTTCAAGGATTTCCAGCACCCGTACGAACCCTGGATATAAATATAAAAAATATACCTGCGGATGTCTGGGGGACAGTACGGAAGAGGATTAGGGCCACTGAAAAAAAAAAAAAGTTAACAGAATTTTTTTTTTTTTATTTCAGTATAGCATGGGAAAAAAGTCAGAATTCCGACTTTTTTCTCAGAATTCCGACTTTAATCTCAGAATTCGACTTTAATCTCAGAATTCGACTTTAATCTCAGAATTCCGACTTTAATCTCAGAATTCGACTTTAATCTCAGAATTCCGACTTTAATCTCAGAATTCTGACTTTTATCTCAGAATTCTGAGAAAAAAGTCAGAATAGGGGGTTTTCAGTGACGTCACTGGCCAGCTTCCGGTCCGCCATCTTGGGTGGCATATTATCGTATATCATATATATCATGTCGCGAATGGATAAGTACGCCAGCACGCTAGAGCCACCAGATCATGGAACATATCTGAGGAAATGTTCCATGATCGCCAATATGGACCCCTATGCCCTCCACGGTGCCTTGTTTAGCACTAATCCAGATGATTGGCCAAATGTAGAGCATGGCGACATAGTTCATTACCTGGTGTTCAGTGAAAACCCTCTGCACACTCTGGAGGAAATGAGAGCGTACAAGGGTCTAGATGCTCAGAAACAGTTCACATCTGGTTGGGTACGAGATGTCGAAGTGATGTACATGAAGGAAATCGCCATCATATGTTGACGGGTGAGTTTTAATAAGATGGTAAAAATGTAAACAATCCGACGCAGGGCTCGCTATGCTAGGTGGCTAACGGCCGGCGGTGCGCGAACAGTTCCAAAGCTACAAGTCCTTGGAGTCTCGTGCAGTTTACGAATGGATGGGTTCAGGAGCTGCAGCTCATAAAGCCAGCAAACAGTGCTAACCGTTAGTGCTAACAACCACTCAGGCATGTAATGTACTTTTAACTAGCTGCTATGTGTTTCAAAGGTTTGGTTAGTAACGTTAACTGCCAAACCTCCCTAAACCCTCCGGGTTTCTCACATATTTGAGCCTTTTCCCGCTGGTTGAAATCAAGTTAAGGTGAAATTAATCAAATTAAAACACGGCTGAGAGAGGGAGTCCAGTACGCGGTGGTCATAGGCAGTAGTCTGAGTAGCGGCGGCGGAGACGGTCAACATTGCGCCCACGGAAAGTAATACGTCATGACGCCCAAGCCCTATTATTAATATATTCTTACATGTTTTAAATGCTTGACAGTTAATTACCTGTGACAAAGTGAGCACTGCAGACTCTGGCGTATTCCAGCTTAACACCGTCCAAATCGGACCTGGATATCCGTGTCAGCCATAGGTGACGGCGTTGTTCAGATAGCCGTTTTGTTTTTTCACATTGATTCACGATTACGGCTGGTATGCGATAGAAAGAGCGTTGATCTCCACCTCCACGGGCCGTGCAACCAACAATTAAACATGTTTTCACCATTTTTCACTGTCAATACTGCCTAAGGCTGCCACCCAATATGGCGGACGCGCTGAGTAGTCACATGAGCGTGACGTCACCTAAAAACCCCCTATTCTGAGATAATGAGAATTCAGGCCAGCATACCCTCAGTAATACGCATTCCATAGAATGTCCTCTGACTCCGCCCTCCTAACAGCCAATCAGGCTGTTTTATTTCCATAGTAATACTATTTAGCACTAATCTCACATCTGCAACCAGCGGCTTGCTCAGATTTTGATCATAACATTGTTTAAACCACAATAGATTTAACCAACTAGATTGGTTGTTTTTCCAACCAATCTATTCTTAGAATCTATCTAATTGACAGCAGCTCTCCTACAAACTCCCACATCTTGACAGAGTAGTGATGCTGATTAAATGCCTGTGGAAGTTCTGGCGTTGCCTGAACCACTTCCTGAAGCGGTCATATGGTATCACAGTAGCGAGGCTTTGGATGTCGTCAATTTTGGCCCCTCCCCTAAAGGAATCAGGCCTCAAAACGCGGGAAACGCCTCCTCCATTACTCGACACGCCCCGAAGCCTCGGCTCATCTCATATCATCCCTAAAATACGGCCAAACCGAAGCACAGCAGGTCATCCTGTTCAGAAACACGTTGGCTGAGCGCCAGAAGGATCAGTAGAAAGACGAGCGGCCAGAGATCCGCCTCTCTCGCTCTTTGCTCCGCCCACATACAGTCAGAAAAACGGCCACAGAACGAATGTCTGTTTTTTTTGAATTTATCTTTTCATTTGATTTGAAAAGTCATACATTTTGCTCATTGATTAAGACGTTTTACGTCTAAAATAAGAAAAAAAATCTCAGGTATTTTCAATGCATAGATGCACATTAAGAAATGTTTACCTGGTTTTTATCAGTTTGCAGCGTAGCTGTGCTGCTTAATGGCAAGACGGGAGCAAATTAATACGGAAAAATTTTAAATGTGGTAAAGTTTCTAAAATTTATGACTTTTCTGTTTGAAATTAAAGGGAAAATTCCGGAAGAAACTAAACAGAAAAGGCTGCAAGAAAATGTTTGACTTTCCTCTGAATCTTTTTCCTGAACGTTGAGACGAGTCGGACAAAATAAATCCTTCTTTGTTCGCATAAAAAAAAATGTCTGTTAAAAATATGTTTAGAAAGAAAGAAGTTCCCCAGATTAGACAGAAACATGATCTTAAAGATCATATTTCCTTTGCTAAAGCCCCGCTGCCTCCTGCCAACATCAGCGTGTCGGAGAAAGAATCCAGACGGCTGTCACTCCAATAAAATCACACGACAGGCGGAGAACAAAGCTCAGCTGTTTGCAATTTCCATCATATTTCCTTCACCCTAATCTCTTCCCACCCAGGTGTAATTAAGGAGCGCGGTGAGTCACCACACACGCAGACTAACGGCGACAGCCAGGATGGTGGTGCCGCTCACCTTCCACGGATTAAGCCCGAACCTTCGGGTTTCCTGGGAGCTGCCTCCATATTTACCTCCAGACAGAAAACCGCTGCAGCTGCAGTAAACTGGTTTAACCTGTTGTGCTCATCGTCAGGGTGACAGAGTGAGCAGCCTACTTCCTCACAGCGACTGTGGAGGATTGACTCGTTAAGGAAGGATACGACTCGGAGTCCTCTCTCGATGGGATCCGTCAGCAGCAGGCCTCGTGGCGCGTAGACCTTCTCATTCTGTTCCTGGATATATTTAGCAATCTTCTTCAGAACCTTAAAAAGAAGTAAAAACATTTTTACTCAGAGACTCTCTGTCTGCAGCTATAAAACCAAAGTTATTTTGATTAACATCCCAGCAGCATAAAGGACATTTAAACCAAAGATCTTTAACAGGATCAGGCTTAGTTTCCTGTGTTTCTTTGGATCAGCTGACATGTTTATTAACCGATCATTTTAAAAACAAGGCTGAGTCATTGAACAGCGGAAGGTCAGAATGACGGTGCAGTATGGAGGACCAACTCTGCCATATTTAAAATACAGAAATAAATAAATGCTCAATAAATGTATTAGGGCTGCAACAACGAATCGATAAAAATCGACTTTTAAAAGCTTTGGCAACGAATTTCATCATCGATTAGTTGTGTCTAGCGATTAATGCGTCATCCGCCGCCGTCATCACTGCCACTTGATTTAAACGGGGGAAGAAAAAAAAATACGGCAGAGCGAGTCAGCGCCGCAGGTGGGCAAAGGCTGTTTTCAAAAGGCAGTAACGTCAACTGTTCTAATGACCGATACCGCAAACGCAAGCTGCGTCTCAATTTGCAGACAGCCTGCGCTTTTTAAAGCGAAAAAAGTCGTAACATGCAACTTTTCTAACATGGCACGGAAGCACCACTTTTATGATGCAGCACCTGAAAAGGAAACACGTTGGAGCCTTCGATGGCGGTGAAGAGAGCTGATCAGCAGGATGAGCGGCCATGTTTGTTTGGTTTTAAAGTGGGGAAACGTAACGTTAGTTTCTCAGGTAGCTCATCTGATGCTTTCCTTACCGTGTTAGTAGGTTACAGACAGTGATAAGGTTGGCTACTTATTTTACTTTTAATTTCATTTGAATTAGCTTAAGGAGCGTTTATATTTTCTTTATAAATAAATTAACTTGCAAATTATGAGGGCAAGGCTTTTAAAGTTTAAATCTTCTGGCAAAGATAAAGTAAAGAAGATCCTGCAATTTATGGAAGTAAAGCAGAATAAAATCCAGCAAGATCAGTAATATGCCAATTATTTATCTGCCACATTCCCATGTAAATATCTGTCTTTGGAGGATGTGTTTTTTAGCACCCCTAGTTCTCTCATTTTTATTCCAAATACAATTTATAATTTGAATCACAGGGCTATTTTTATCTCTATGGTTCAGTATTTTCTCAAGTAGCAACTTTAACTGCTATACTTTCCTGTCTTAAAAGGCAGAACTCTTCTAGTCTAAAAAAACTCATTTGTTGAAATGGGGGGGCCTATTGTTTGAACCCCTTAGGGGCTTTAAAAACAAAAATGTCTTTTTTTGCGCTTTATGAAACAAAGTAGCCTATATTTTGTGGATGTACAGCTACATTTCTCATGTAAGTTTGCGTAGTTTTAACACAAACATTTATTTTTCATATTGCACCAGTACAGTTAATGAGCAACCTGTACTTGTGTGCTTGTTTGTTCTGTCTAAAATGTTTATTTTGGAATAAAGAGGTTAATATAAAAAATATTTTTTTGTCCGATTCATCGATTAATCGAAAAAATAATCGGCAGATTCATCGATTTTTAAAATAATCGTAAGTTGCAGCCCTAAAATGTATAAGCATACGATTAATTGCCAACAAAAATACAAGAAACAAATAAATGTAAGCAGAAATGAAATTATACAGTGAGACATAAATATATAACTGTTTAAATTAGCTTCTTTATTTACTTGCCTTTGTAATATTTACCTTATTTATTTTTTTGTCCTTTATATATATATATTTTTTTACATTTCTGTCTTCCCTTTTTACAGAGGGCAGCTGCAGACGGGCTGCCGTTAGCTTCGCAGCTCCGCTGGTTGCCGCGGTCCTCTCAAGTTCGGAACATTTTCTTTTAAATTACGCATTAAATCTGTGAATGGGCCATATGGTGACGCTTTAAAGTATAACGTTCTCGCCTCAAATAACCTTAAAACGTACTTTTATTGAACAACAGCAACAGAAAAGAGGACATTTAACTTAGTACTCTGAGCTCTGTGAGTGAAGAAGATGGACCGCCAAGCCAACCAATGAGCAGAAGTTGACTCTCTAGGACACGCCCCCTCCTCATTTGCATAATGAGGCAGAAATGTAAATATGAAAACAGAAATAAACAGCGGCAAAGAAATAACTAAGGTAAAAAAATACAAAGGAAGAATAAAACACACAAAAATATTATAAAATGCACATAAATAAATGCTTGAAAATATAAGTAATTAAAAAATAAAGTTGAAGATTATAAAGGACAAAAAAATAAATAAGGCAAATAAATAAAGAAGCTAATTAAACAGTTACATACATTTATGTCTCACTGTATAATTTCATTTCTACCTAAATTTATTTGTTTATTGTATTTTTGTTGGCAATTAATTGTATGCTTATATATTTATTTATTTCTGTATTTATTTTTTAATTTGGCAGAGTTGGTCCTCCATAGTGCAGAAGGGAAACCTGTTTGTTGTCTCTGGCCTGTAAACAAAGCAGCAGTAACAGCAGTTTATGGACGGATTTAACCGTTTAACCGCTGAAGAAGGAGCGACTCTCTGGAAGGTCCCCCAACGTTTTCTCCATGACGATAACTTTAGACGGACAGACGTCAGAGACTTTGCTCTCCTCTGTTTTCCTTTCATTTCAAGGATATGTGAAACTCTTTTAGGCGACATAATGCTTCTAAATCCATCCATCCATCTGGATGTGGATAATGACTCTGAACCCTTTCTAGTAATGAGGTTAATTACAGTAAAAGATTTATTTTTTTTGGTTGGATTTCTGGTTTATTTAAAAGCAGATTATCTAGTTTGTGATAAATCTTCCTGATGCTGAACATATCCCACCTTCTCGTAGTGAGTCTCCATGCACAGGAAGACGGTGTACGCCGTGAGGCACGCCAGACAGCCTTCAATAAACGACTGGCTGCTCAGCTTCTCCGCCTCAGCGTAAAGGTTGTTCAGCGTCCGAATCGTCTCCTCAAACTGCTGCTTGTCGATCTGAAACAGAAGGAGGACGGGTTCAGATTAGGACACAGATCCGGGTGTGTTTCAAAGGTCAGTGGGATGACCTGGTTTATCTGCTGGCTGCATGTTCTCAGAACGTTTATGTATCAGGAGACTTCCAGGCTTCCTTCCCACATTTCGAAACACCTCCTGTGCGGATCAGGATGCCTGGGGAATGTTCCTGCTTAATAACCAGCAGGGCTGGCTCCAACTTGGATAGAAACACAGAAAATGCTCCCTGTCCAAAGACATGGCTCCTCTTTGGAGGATTGAATATCTCTCTGCTGTTCCTGAACCCAAACCGATCTGAGCAGAGCTGAAATGATGGGCATCAGAGCTGTTCACTGCTGCCCTCTAGAAGTTTTCACACCCTTCAAACGTCCCTGCTTCTCATCGTCTAAACTGTATGTAGGCTTACAGAGACGTCATGGCCATCTGGCATCACCAACAGCTTGAAAAAAGTACATCCAGATCCCTGGAACCTCTGGGGGAGCTGCAGGGGTCTCCAGCTCAGGTGGGACAATTTATTTCCTTTCTACTTATTTAGTTTCTTTGAAATAAACAGCTAGAAGGAAACGGTTGTTGAAATGAAGCCACAGAAAAATCAGCTTTGCCAGAGGCCATGATGGGACGGCAGCAAACGGGTTCCCTGATCAGAGTAAGCTAACAAACTTTAGCCTTAAAGGAAGAACGAGGAAGGAAGAATGGAGGACAACCAATGCGGCCGTAGCGCCAAGCAGCGGGAACGCCGTTTATCGTCTGGGACAGGGAGGGGGTTCAACGAAGACCTGAGGCTGCAGAGCGGATCACCGACCATCAGAATAACGCATCTACAGCAGAGGGAACCAATTAAAAACCAGCCGGGTCCGAATAAAGAATATCATCAACCAGCGAAAGTCCAGAGACATTTTAAAACTATAATCTGTTACTTTAAACAGAATTTATCACTGAAATAAAATTTGGTATTTATGCATCCATGTTTTTTAAATTAAAAAAACATTTTTCCATTTTAAAAGAGAAGTTTAGTCATCAAGGAATAATCAATTTATCCTTATTTATACCTAAAACTAACACTTTTGTGCTGATTTAATGAATTTAGCTTAATCAGTAAAAAAAATAATAAATAAGTAACATAAAACAATATTTTTCATCGTGATCACTGAGTCTGTGAGCGGCCATTTTTACCCAAATATAGTAGCCCCACCCTCCTGCCATCTTCCAGCAGTGACGTCACGGTGCGGTTAGCCTAGCGCCATTCTCCCCGCTTTCCAAGCTAAATCAATGGGAACTACTAGACACATCTGCAATCAACAACAATTATTGAAGATTTCCAGAGGACTTCACCATTGAAATTCACCAGAGCTATAGTGAAACTGACAATGCCCACGTGCATGGCAGCTGGATGCTGGAATACATCGGGTAAAAGTGGAAAAAAGAGTTATTCCACCTTTCTGATTCCTGATCCTCCACGGACGGGTTGGTCGTTGGATCGCCAACTTGAAGAGGGAGGATTTGCCATCGAACTTCTGGCCAGAGAAAAAACCCGTAATATGTAGCCAACATTTGGAAGAAGAATGTTTTCAAGATGACTTGGATAATAGCGCGTTGTGACAAACACCAGATACAGCACTGGGACTCGATCAACAGCCGATACCGCACCGTGACAATGTCACTAACCAGTAGGTGGCAGTAGTGTTCTTTGACAAACATGGATGCCTCCAGTAAAGCACATTCACATGGAAATTACTCTGAATTAAAAACACTGATCATTTATTGAACAGGATGGAATCATTTCAGATTTAAAGAACTTTCAGAAGTTTGGATTCTGAATACGAGTGACTTTCATCTTAAAATCTAAAGTGTTTTTTGAAGTAGAGAACAACAATTGTTCAGTTTGGTTTATAAACAATTAATTAACATATTTTCTCAAACCCCTGAACTGATGGTTTGTTATTTTCTTTCTTTTTTTCTGTCTTAATGTTGGCAGTGGGCTTTAGGCTGCCCTGCAAGGCTTTAAACCTGGGTTTAACCGGAGACTAAGCCATTCTCAAGCACATATCAAGGAGCTCATTTTGAGCCTGGATCCAGATTTATTGTTGATTCTGTTCATGGTGGAGAATCCTGCTTCACAGCAGCAGGTTGAGCCAAACATCCTCTAAATGTGCAGGGTCATCTTTGAGCACGCCATTTCACTTTTCTTTCACCAGTTCACCGCAGTTCTTCCAGCAGTCCACACTTTCTCTGCTCTCTTTTTCTCATGGTCTTCTCCTTCTTTCCCATCGCCCGGCTTGCCACAGGTTTGCCTGCTGTGTCTAAAAGTAGCAGCAGCAGCAACCCAGACTGACAGCTCATTGGCTCATTTGGATCACGTGCAGCCTGGAGCCGGATGCTCCCCAGGGCTTTACCGTATTAACAGGAGAAGAGGCGCAAGGGAAATTAGACACTGTGGTCGTACAACATGCAGTAATTAATAAGTGTTTTAATTCAGGTTGGGTCCGGATCTGGATCCCAGTCCACTAATCTGTGACCTCTGACCTATTAGAACGAGCAGAATAAAATCTAGACGCTGCTGCTAAGCAATCCGACTGAAGATGAAAGTTTGTGTTTTGGTTCATCTGATAAAGAACCAGAACCTGTTAGTTCACATCTACCCGACAAATACGGCTCCGCAAAGACGAGCTCCATTGAACTGCAGGAATCAGTAAAGGATCTTATTTTTTGACTCTTCAGGCATAACTGGAAGCATAGATGGAACCACATTCACTACTGCCTCACTTAATAAAAGAGACTTTTTTATGTTTCACAGTATTTCATCTGCTAAACAACTGTCAACACTAAAGAAACGTCTCCAACTTTCTGTTTTCTTGTTCCGGAGGAATGCAGCGAAAAGTTCAAGCGGCTTGTTCTGCCTGTTCCCTAATTTTCCTTTGGTGGTCTGGGATTGGAAGCATCTTTCCACGGCACATGACAGACAGATGGACATTCTGAGGATGAGGGATGTTAGCACGATGCTACAAAGCCTTTCCAGACAAGTTTGATAAAGATGATCTTTGATCTGCAGCTGTCAGTTAAACCACAGGCCAGCAGAGGCGGACGTCAAAACTCCAGCGATGGGTTTGGAAAGTGAGCAGCAACATGCCGCTAAAGACTAAAAGCTCTCCCCTCCCGTTGGTAGCATTTACCAGAAACATTCAGGAGAAACAAACACAAAGAAAAGAAAAGCCCACATCCTAAAATAACAAATGTGCCTGAAGAGAAGCACATTGGCAGCCATGTGACTTCTGAAACCACAGGACATGCAACACCACAGCAAAGGAAAAAATGTTGGCTCAAATAACAAAAAAACAAAATGAACTAATTAAATAAAAATGCAGGCCGTAAAACATTTGGCCCCTTGCTGCATATTTCAGAAATAAAGGTTCGGCTAATCTTAAACGGATGAAGAATTTTATGGCAGAGAGAGTTGGCTCCTGAAATCCATCTGTGTGTAGAAACGCTCCGGAAAAAACAGCAAAGACCACCCAACTCCAGGGGAGACCCAGAGACATCTTCAAAATGAAGTGTCAAACCCGGACTCTGTTCACGCTGCTTTAAACGTCGCATCGGGTCGGCCTGCTTCATCAGGCTGCTCCTCTTCCTCCACATCAGACCAGGTTTAACCAGACTTCCCCACTAGGAGGCGGCAGATCCACCAGCTTCTGCTCTCAGCGCTGCTGTTCTGTCAGACCAGCTACCATTAGATAGACCATATGCATATGCAACACTTGCGTTTTTCCCTTTTGTTTTGAACGAAAAATAGACTTTGGGGCGTGTATCGCTTTAGTTTTGTAAAAAAAAAAAAAAGAAAAAAGTTTAAGGTCAGATCGCCATACACTGCAAAAACATCAAAAAGTAAGTAATTAAATCGTTTTTTTCCACATGACTAAAGGGATAAACGTCCATTGAGGTATTTTAAAGTATATTTTTCATAGAAAACTAAAGGGATAAACAGGTATTAACTGTGGGTATGCTCATCTGACACAACACCGGCTCTAGGCGTCAGGGTTCCGGGGCCCATAGGGGGCCAAGAGCAATGAAAATACAGAGCTCTGCCAAACGGCGGAGAAATGTACGGCGCTATATTAGGGCTGAGCTTTTCCCTGCAAATGTAAAAATAAGCAGTTTAACAATCAGAGAGAAACTCAGCTTTGGTTTGATGACATTCATCAGGAGTCAGACGCAGACTTTCTCCCTCCTTTAGGTGGCGCTATTACGCTTAAAGGAAAAGTTTGCTCAAATTCACAATTCAAACTTCTGAAAGTTCTTTAAAACTGAAATGATTCCATCCTGTTCAATAAATGATCCGTGTTTTTAATACAGAGTAATTTCCATGTGAATGTGCTTAACTGGAGGCATCCATGTTTGTCAAAGAACACTACTGCCACCTACTGGTTAGTGACGTCACGGTGCGGTATCGGCTGTTGATCAAGTCCCAGTGCTGTATCTGGTGTTTGTCACAACGCGCTATTATCCAAGTCATCTAGAAAACATTCTTCTTCCAAATGTTGGCTACATATTACGGGTTTTTTCTCTGGCCAGAAGTTCGATGGCAAATCCTCCCTCTTCAAGTTGGCGATCCAACGACCAACCCGTCCGTGGAGGATCAGGAATCAGAAAGGTGGAATAACTCTTTTTTTTCACTTTTACCCGATGTATTCCAGCATCCAGCTGCCATGCACGTGGGCATTGTCAGTTTCACTATAGCTCTGGTGAATTTCAATGGTGAAGTCCTCTGGAAATCTTCAATAATTGTTGTTGATTGCAGATGTGTCTAGTAGTTCCCATTGATTTAGCTTGTAAAGCGGGGAGAATGGCGCTAGGCTTACCGCACCGTGACGTCACTGCTGGAAGATGGCAGGAGGGAGGGGTTACTACATTTGGGAAAAAATGGCCGCTCCCAGACGCAGTGATCGCCATGAAAATTATTGTTTTTTTGTGACTGTGACGTCACAAACCTGTAGGTGGCAGTTGTGTTCTTTGACAAACATGGATGCCTCCAGTAAAGCACATTCACATGAAAATTACTCTGAATTAAAAACACTGATCATTTATTGAACAGGATGGAATCATTTCAGATTTAAAGAACTTTCAGAAGTTTGAATTCTGAATACGAGCAGACTTTCATCTTAAAATCTAAAGTGTTTGTTGAAGTAGAAAACAATTGTTCAGCGGTTCAAGGCTGGAAAAGATCTCTTTTATCCAAAGGTAAACCAGCGTGCAGCTGGACGGTGTGATCAGATATGAAAAGGTTGAAAGCGTGTGAATACTTTTAGTCCTGCAGAAGCCAAGAACCTTAATGATCACTGAGGTTTAACTTCAATCAAACCTGATGGCTAAACAAGCCCTCAACCTCAACCTTGAACTAGAAAAACAGGGAAAAGTCTGGAATCATCCAGAAGGTTGACTAAGCTGAGAGTTCGTTCCAGCTCTGAGACCAAGGAAGTGCCCTGGAGGAAAACACGCAGCAGTTGCGTCTCCTACCTTGGTCTCCAGGTCTGAAGGAAACTTGGTCTGGAACTGGCACATGGTTCCATTGGTGTAATCCCTCTGAATGAAGACTTTGGCTGCAACCGCCACCTGCTGCCTCATGTCCTGTAAGCTGTGGGTCTGTGGGAACAGGAATGTCCACAAACATTTAACAAGCGATCCACACATTTGAAGCTCTCTGTAGTCTTAGTGCAAATAAAAAATGTTCAGAGAATAGCAGACAGGCCTGGGCTCCATCATACAATAATTAAATTTATGTTCCACCGTTTTCTTTTATTCCTTAGCGGCCATTTTGTTGTTTCATAATCCCCAAGAAGATATCAGCTGTAATAATTCATCCCTCTAATCTGACATGAAATGCTTCCACTTCGCTCTAGGTCTGCTGGTGAAGATTCTCAGTCATCCAGGACTTAATCAATCCAAAAAAAGTTTTAAAACAATCCACTGGACTCCAAGTTTGAAGCCGTTTCTCTTCCATCCAGGAAGATTTTTCGATTCAAAATGTCAGAAATAGCGTTTAGTTCCAGGTTTTATCCAGCAGCCCAACAAAGCCTGGTTTTAGTTTAGAAAACATGCAAATTTAACCGGAAGAAAAGCTCCACCCCTTAGGAATGAGGAGTCATTTGGGTTCTTTGTTAGCCTGAAATACCTGATACTGGTCAATGCCTCTGAAAGGGGGTCGTTAGAGGGAGTAGTTGGCTTGGATGAACAGAGGATGTCTTCTGTTCTCCTGTAAAGGGGTTGGAGCTGCGATGTTTAAGGTTGTTTTTTCTTTCTTAACATAGATGGCTTCCTTCACGCCCCTCTCTAACCGCCTGTCTTCTTTGTCCAAAATGTGAACATTCTGGTCCTCTAAAGAATGTCCTTTGTCCATCAGGTGTAGATGTACCGCAGAGCCTTATCCGGATTATTTTAATGTGTTTTTTAGTTGTTTTGGTTTATAGATGCTAATTTTCTAAGAACAGCTTCTTAGCATCATATATTAGCTATTCTTGAAACAGCTAGCCACTTCTAAAATCAGCTAACCTCGATTAAAGCGTAAAGCTATTGTGCACCTGTCCCTTTGCTGTTTATAGTTTCAAATAAGTTAAATAAAATCTCCCGTCTTCATAACAAAGTAGCTTAGCATATTAGCAGTCAAGCCGTGAGCTAGCAGCAGAACAAGCTAGCAGCAGCCTCACAGCGCTCACCGGTTTAGATTAGTTTTAACCCAAACCCAACATCACCGCCGACATCTGAGTACAGTTTGGTTCATTAAAGATGTGACGAAATAAAGAGATTTAAGCTAAATATCTCACCTCGGCCATGGTGAAGATTTCTGTCAGAACTCTTCTAGACCTGCTGCGAAGAAATAGTTCCGTAGAGAAACGCGGTAGAGCAGCAGAAGGTTCCGGACAAACGTTCCCACTGAATAATGTTTTCACATGCTCAAATAAATATATACAAATCAAAAGGTAAATCATAGATAAATAAATAAATAAATAAATAAATAAATAAATAAATAAATAAATAAATAAATAAATAAATAAATAAATAAATAAATAAATAAATAAATAAATAAATAAATGATAGAACTGAAAAAAAGAAGACAACTATACAACTTCTTAAAATAGATAATGATATATGTTGCAAAATGCAAGCATTACAGATATAATAATAATATAGATACTTACTGTGGAGTGTAAATATGAGAGAGATCTATTTGAAACTTTAGAAGCCGTCTCTTGACCCAGATGACTTGGTCAATTATAGACCTATATCCAATCTTCCTTTCTGATCTAAAATCCTTGAGAAAGTAGTTGCAAAACAAGTGTGTGATCACTTCCACCATAATGAACTTTTTGAAGAGTTTCAGTCTGGCTTTAGAGCTCATCATAGCACTGAAACAGCTCTGGTGAAAGTCACTAATGATATTCTCATGGCCTCAGATAATGGACTTGTATCTGTGCTCATCCTGTTGGATCTCAGTGCTGCATTTGATACAGTTGATCATAATATTCTTTTGGAAAGACTGGAATATTTTGTTGGAATTAAAGGAACAGCACTAGACTGGTTTAAATCTTATCTATTTGATCGATTTCAGTTTGTTCACCTTAATAACAGATCTTCAACACGCTCAAAGGTTACCTGTGGAGTACCACAGGGATCAGTGCTAGGACCAATTCTCTTTACTTTATACATGCTCCCAATCGGTAGAGTTATTAGACAGCATGGGATTAATTTCCACTGTTATGCTGATGATACCCAGCTATATCTGTCTATAATCCAGATGAAGCTAACCCATTACATAGATTACAGGCATGTCTGAAGACAGAAAAACCTGGATGACTCTTAACTTTCTGCTTCTGAATGCAGACAAAACAGAAGTTATAGTCTTTGGACCAGAGTCTCTGAAAAAGAAGCTGATTAGCCAGTCAATTCATTTGGATGGGATTAAACTGATTTCAGATAATAAAGTAAAAAATCTTGGTGTTATTTTTGATCAGGATCTGTCATTTAAATCCCAGATCAAAGAGGTTTCTAGAATTTCCTTCTTTCATCTGAGGAATATCACAAAAATGAGCAATATCCTGTCCAGGGGTGATGCTGAGAAACTAGTCCATGCATTTGTTACTTCAAGGCTGGACTATTGTAATTCTTTACTATCAGGAAGTCCACAAACTGTAGTTAAAAGCCTTCAGCTGATCCAAAATGCTGCAGCCAGAGTTCTAATGAAAATTAAAAAGAGAGATCATATCTCTCCTATCCTGGCTTCTCTTCATTGGCTTCCTGTTAAATCCAGAATAGAATTTAAAATCCTCCTTCTCACATATAAAGCCTTAAATGGCCAAGCTCCATCTGATATCAGAGATCTGATTGTTCCTTATGTTCCTAACAGAGCACTTCGCTCTCAATCTGCAGGTTTACTAGTGGTTCCTAGAATTTCTAAAAGTAGAATGGGAGGCAGATCTTTTAGTTATCAGGCTCCTCTCCTGTGGAACCAACTACCAGTTTTAGTCCGTGAGGCAGACACCCTGTCTACTTTTAAGGCTAGGCTTAAAACTTTCCTTTTTGATAAAGCTTCTAGTTAGAGTGGCTCAGGTTATCCTGAGCTATCTCTATAGTTCTGCTGCTATAGGCTTAGACTGCTGGAGGACATAGGGACCCCTTTTTCATCATTCTGCTTCATTCTATCTCTATTCTCCCACTCTGCAGAATCTGTTAGTTCAATCTCTAACGTTCTGCTCTCTCTGCTTTTTCTCATAGTAGCTTCATCTGGTCTGTTCCTGTTTGGCTGTGACTCCATCCTGGAGAGAAATATCAGCTGTGCTGCTGCCATCAACACCTTTGTTTCTAGATGTTGGAGCTTGGCCTGTTTTCCAGTGTAGTCCTGTTTCTCTGACTGTGACTAACTGGATGTGCTCTCTTCATCCTCTGACATGGGAGCTGGCTCGGAGCTCGTCTGCCTGGCTGTGTGTTTCCTGGACGGGGCCGCCTGTGGAGCTGGTTGACAGTTGCCTTTTGTATCTATGCTTCTTTTTCTATGTCTGCTTCTGTCTCCTTGAACCCCAGTGGGCCTCAGCAGATGGCCGCTCACACTGAGCCTGGTTCTGCTGGAGGTTTCTTCCTGTTCAAAGGGAGTTTTTCCTCTCCACTGTCGCTACAAGCATGCTTAGTGTGAGGGATTGCTGAAGAGTCAATGAGTCGATGCAATCAGCTGGTTTTCCTTAGATAGAAAACTTTGAATCAATCTGACTGGATGATCTGGTGAACTGGAAATTGACCTGACGTGACATGATGTGAATTGGCACTATAGAAATAAACTGAATAGAATTGAATATTCCTGAGCCGTAAGACACCAAGTAGTGAGTTTATAGTAGTGCTATGTTTCTGACTTCCACACTCTGAGAGAAGACTTCACCAGGAAGTCAAGGCAGGCGGGTTTAGGATCTCATTATATTTACAAATTAGAAAACCAAATATCTTGAAAGTATTAACAGACAATGAAAATGTTTTTGAACATTTCTTCAGAGTTAATAAATTGGTTCAATATGGCTTCAAATAGAGGTTTTTGAGACCCACCCTGTTTTTAAGAAACTGTCGATGATCCCAGCAGCAGAAAAGGAATCGCTAATGATTCCCTCATTTGTCACCAAAAGGTTCATTTTTCAGAGAACAGAAAATGTCACAGCGACGCATGGCCACTGTGAAAAAAGTAGATCCAATAAGGATCCATTTTTTTTGGACAATGTTGCGTCAGAAACCTAAACCAGTATGATCTAGCCCATGGTAAATCAGTCTACATTTGACCTGTAATAACCCACCTTCATAATAAGCAAAGAATGCGATCTGTGCACTTCCAAGTTCATTCTTCAGATTTCATTCCTTCTGTCTCACATTCACCAATCATTGGCTCATACTGGATGCGTGCAAATTTTTATCAGTAATGGAGTAATTACAGCCTAAAAATGTCCCTGGTGGAAATCTGGCTTCATCGCTCACTCTTGGATTTCTCATTTTAAAGGGTTCCAGATCACAGCAAGGCTTCGCATGGCTTGGCTGCACACGCACAAATGAGTCCCTCCAGAAAAATACAGGAAAGCTGAGATTTATCGCAACAAGATTTTTAGCTTACAGCAGCAACGATTCCCCATGTTTGAGTTCACCCTGCAGCTCGAGCTGCGCTGGGAAAACTTTTTCTCTCTGGGTTCTCCGAGGAGTCCAGCTGCTTGCTTTAGGAGATGTTCTGCTGGCTGGAAAGACAGAGAGGCTGGACAGTATTAAGGAAGGATTAGGGCCAGATTAGAGGTTTTTTTTTTGAATATGAGAAAAAAGTTATCCCAATCAAGTCATATCATTGAGAATAAAGTTGTAAAATTTTCAGAATTATGGATGCAACTAACGATTATTTTGCAAATCAATTAATCATGCAATAAATTTTTTGATCAATCGATTAATATTCTGATAGCAAAAGGTTTCTTAAAGAAGACTTTTTGTGAATCTAAAACCAGGTGAAACTAAAACTTTTCCATTTGAGAAATTCTGGATAGAACATATTGACGGATGAAAAAAGGATTTTTATCTTAAATGCAAAATGTTTATACATTTTTTTTAATACAATTTTGGTAAAATTAATGCTCTAAGTGGGTTTCTCTGTTAGCTAAAGGCATGTTTAGAGTCTCTACACTCATGTAATGATTAATCGAGTACTAAATTAGTTGTCAAAACATTATCAGAATGAAGTCATAACATTATGAGAATAAAGTCGAGACATTATCAGAATAAAGTAGGGGTGTGCATTGGCACTGCCCTCACGATTCGATTCAGTTCGATTCTACGATGCATTGCGATGCATCAAAATCCCATTGACTTCGTAAAATCCGAAATGTGCCCAGATATCCCCTTTCCAAGCTTTTGGTGCGTTTTTAATTAGGCCTACCCGTCTATCGCGGTCATCTCCCTCCGCCTCGGCCATCTTGATTGTTGTTGGTATGCCCCCGGAAGTAATTGAAACTTCACAACTTGTCCATTTGAGGCCAGAAAATAAACAGTGACATAATCGATTATGGCACGTAGCCGCATCGATGCTGAATTGTGCATGCCCCGCATTGCAATGCATCGCTGAATCGATTATTGTTGACACCCCTAACACCCCATAACATTATTAGAATAAAGTCATAATATTAAAAGAATAAAGTCGCAACATTGTCAGAATAAAGTCATAAAATCACGAGAACAAAGGTGAAAAAGTATGAGAATGAAGTCATCATACCACAACTGGTTTCAGAAAGAAAGCTTTGAGCTCATGGTCAATTGCACAATCGTTTCAGCATTCTGATAATGATAATAATTTGATGCAGGTGTGTTAAAAGACTTAATATTTCTGAAACGGTTGAGTGGAGTTTTTGAGGACGCAAATGTAGAGATCAGGAGAAAGAGGTGAATTTTGTAGATTTAATTAGGCAACTGAGGCAGAAATCCAAAAATCCCCCAAAAATAATGAAAACCAAAAACTCAGAAGATACCAGGGAGGAACACACACAGGGAACCAAGTAACAACCAACCAGCAAAGAAGAACTGCACAGGGAGAGTATATATGGCAGACAGAACAAATACTGGGGTAATCAGCTGATAGGGAGCAGGTGCGGATGGAAGTTACTAGAAGGGAGCTAGGGGATAGGAGACAGGCACAAGGGGGCGACAGAGATTAACTCAAGACTGCTAGAAAACAACTCCATCATCCATCCATCCATCCATCCATCCACCCACCCATCCATCCATCCATCCATCCATCCATCCATCCATCCATCCATCATCCATCCATCCATCCATCCATCCATCCATCCATCCATCCATCATCCATCCATCCATCCATCCATCCATCCATCCATCCATCCATCCATCCATCCACCCACCCATCCATCAAA